TTTGTTACATATTCTTTTGGACGATTTCTTTTATGTTGATTTCCTTAAGTTATTTTAATGCAATTAAGGGCGTTTTTAGCGGTGTTTCCAAAGAAAACACTACGACATTTTTACATTTAGCGGCGTTTATATTAAAAACGCCACTAAATGGTAACATTAATGGTGTTTTCCAACAAACGCCGCTAAAGATAAATACTTCAGTGGCTTTATAAGAAAATGCCGCAAAAAACATGTACTTTACCCATTTTTTAGAAAACGCAGCTATTAAATGATAAATGGTGGTGTTTGTGTTTACAAACGCCGTAATATTTGATAATGTTAATCGTGTGAATCCTTTTCCCTTTTTCCATCTGTTCCCACAATCCCCTTTTCCTCTTTCTCATCTCCGTCGGAATAGCCAAATATCCATGCAAAACTAGTACTGCTTGTCACCGGTCGAAGCTGTCGAGGCCTCTAACGTGTCGCCATCAACGCTTGACTATTTGATTTGAGGTGTGAATAGTATCTGTTATTCACTTATGAAAGCGTTTTTTTCTCTCCATTTGCATGTTTCCCCCTTTTTCTTCATTTTTTATGCTCATATCATATCAACTCTCCACTTATGAAAGCCTTTTTTCTCGCCATTTATATTCGTTTCTATCATTTCGCCCAGCTTCATTTTCTCCCCCACCCCAAACAAAATCTAAAAGACTTCCATGATTGATTTTATATAAATTTCAAATTTTGAAATTTTATTTTAATAGTAATCAAATATGTAGTGTTAGATATGGAACAACTACCCATTTAGATTTGAAAGTGAGGTGGGTAGCTTCGATATAGAATAATTATCCCATTCAGATTTGAGGTAGCTTCGATTAAGGAGGCTGAGAATATGTTGAATTTGGGGGGGGGGGAATTAGGGATTAAAATTATAGACAATAAAAGGAAAGTAGTGAGGGAAGATTACTATACATGGAATAATGGTGCGTTGAGGGTGTTAGAGGGTCATGACAGAATCGAAGGAGTCTAGTATCGTGATTTTTAAATTTTCAGAATTAGTAGGATGTTTTATTGAAAGGACCTGATAGTAAAAAGTGTAATAGAGAAGCAGAATTTCTTCAAATAATTTTTTAAGAACCGTGACTTGGAGGGGGAAGGGATCAATTGACCTTACTATTGGTGTGAGGTAAATGTTACAATTAGATTTATTTAGAGCTTGGTGGTAAATTTATAAATTTGGTATTGATGAAGGGTTGGTTGCTAATGAAGAGGGTTGCTTCAGTGTGTTATGAATTCGTGAGAGGGTGTAATATTCTGTTGGTTGGTTTAGTTTATTTGTTGTCTTATTTTGCATTGTAGTAAAAAGTGTAATAGAGAAGCAGAATTTCTTCAAAGATTTTTTAAGAACCGTGACTTGGAGGGGGAAGGGATCAATTGACCTTACTGTTGGTGTGAGGTAAATGTTGCAATTAGATTTATTTAGAGCTTGGTGGTAAATTTATAAATTTGGTGTTGATGAAGGGGTTGGTTGCTAATGAAGAGCGTCGCTTCAGTTTGTTATGAATTCGTGAGAGGGTGTAATATTATGTTGGTTGGTTTAGTTTATTTGTTGTCTTATTTTGTATTGTTGGTTTTTTACTCAAGTCGTTGAGTGGTGTGCATGTTTTCTTTGCAATTAGGGAAGGCTTAGTGTTGTTGGTTTAGGGTTTAATGTTACTCTACTTTGATTTATGATTTTCAAATTGAGCAAAGAGAAGGTGTGATCTTATCAAATCAAGAGAAGTTGGTTAAGGTTTGGTGGTAGTCATTCGGTCTTATTTTTCTTGATTTCTCGTTTGGTTGTAGTGATTGTCTCACCAAATAAAACCCATCATGGAAGCTTACCAAAACCAAAACCAAAACAGGTGGCCTCACAAGATTGACAAACCACCCTCTTGGGCGGTTCTCAAAGGCCTTTTCTTTGGTAAACAGAGACGACGACAACAACAAGAAGAGCAAGAGCCATTACAGCAGCAGAAGAAGACGATGAAGAAGCAAAAGAAACAGGCATGAAATGCAAGAAATTGAGGTGTTCAGGTTCCATATGTAGCAACACAAAGGTCATTCAGAGGCCTGAAGTAGCTTCCCCTGAAGTTCACAAGAAAGGGCATCATTCGCTACAACCAATGATGCTTCTACCAGATCCATGAAAGCTCCTCTGCGTGAACTCAACGGACTGCCTGTTTCTTCCTCTAATTCTTCAGTGCTTTCAGTATCCTCAGCCGCACCAGCCTCCTCAGTCGGCGGTCCTTTTGGAGGAACGCCGTTTAGGAGATTATCCGGCTGTTATGAGTGCAAAATGGTGGTTGATCCTCTCCTCGGAATATCCAAAGACCCCTCCTTTAGGGGCACCATTTGTTCCTGCCCTGAATGTGGTGAGATTTTCTTGAAAGCTGAAAACTTGGAGCTTCATCAAGCTGTTAGCCATGCAGGTAAAACTTACTCCCCTGAAAACCCTGATTTAGCACTAGAAAAACACTTAAAGCTCATCTTTTGTGTATGATCAAACAGTATCTGAACTGGGTCATGAGGACACAAGCAAGAACATAGTGGAAATCATATTCCAGTCAAGCTGGTTGAAGAAACAAACACCCATCTGCCAAATCGATCGCATCCTTAAGGTCCATAACACCCCCAAAACCATCTCCAGGTTCGAAGAATACCGTGATTCCATCAAATCCAAAGCCACCAAGCTCCCCAAGAAGCACCCACGTTGCATAGCCGACGGTAACGAGCTCCTAAGGTTTCACTGCACCACTTTCGCATGTTCACTCGGCGTCAGCGGTTCCACCAACTTGTGCAACGCGATTCCAAAGTTCAATGTCTGTAGCATTATAAAGAATGGGTTCAAGGTGGCTCAAGAAACCAATGGAGAAGGAATCTTAACAACAGCAACCAGTGGCAAAGCTCATGATAAGGCAACTGGGGTTGAAGATGAGGGTTGTGAGAAGAGGGCAATGCTCGTTTGTAGAGTGATTGCTGGGAAAGTGAAGAAGAACATGGACGGTAACATGGAGGATTGCGACTCGGTTGCCGGTGATGTTGGGGTCTACTCCGATTTGTATGAGCTGTTTGTGTTTAATCTTAGGGCTATTTTGCCTTGTTTTGTTGTTATCTATAGAGGATTTTAGAATTTTGCATGTTTAAATGTAATGTTTAATACCAACAGGTGGAATTTTTTTTATTTGCACATGGAAAAATTCTATAACGCATTGGATGAATTAATGCTGACTGAACTTGAAATTGTTTGAAATATCTTATTTTTAAATCCAAATGAAAAAAATATGTAATCAGACAGTTTTTTAATTCCAATCATCGAAGAAGCTAAAAGAATTTTTAGTGAACAGAGAATTATGTGAGCAAGTGGCATTGTTTTTGTCACATCAATGTCCGGATTCCCATTCCATTTGCTAACGCCAAACGAAGTACAATTGGGAATTTGGAATAAAACTCTTCTCCATAGATCTGGAACACTGAACAGAGCCTGACCTGACATGTCTGGTCTCTTGATCAGGTTGTTCAAGCCACCGTGAATAATACAAAACATAAAATAAAACCCCCAGACAAATTTTGGGTTTTTATTGCTGCATATAAGAAGACATTACTGAAGATGCTTCTGATTTGCGGTTTGTCTCCACAACTTCTGTTAAATCCTTGATTCAAAATCACCCTGAGTGCAGAAAACAACCCTCTTTCCCATCTTCCCCTTCCGTACAGCGAGGTACTTTTTGTGTTATATTAGAGATGACAGTGCAAAAACAATAATTAAAATAATTTTTTAATGGTATTTTTTACCTCCAAAAAAAATTAACTCAAAATTTTAATTAGAATATTTTGTGTTTATTATCACCCTCAAAAAATAGTATTGCATGCATGAATGGTCAAAACTAACTACGGATTTGGCGCCAAAGAAAGAGGCGTAAAGTACTGGCTCTCATGGCATATATGCATGCTTTGTGTAGCTTTTGTTCAGGCTTTTTCATCAGTTGTACAGTGAAGGAGAAGAGTAAAAAGGAAACAATACCACGTCACAGATGCTTGAAGCTCAAGCCCCATTTCATCATGCACTCTACATATGATGATTCATGTATTTACATGTCATGTTCATGTTATGTAATCGTACTATGTTTAATATTATTACATTTTACATGTGAAAAAATAAAATAAAAACGATTGAGAGGAAAAGAAAGCAACGCGACATGAGAGGAAAAGGAAAGAAGGGCAGTGAAGGCAGCAAGCAACAAGGCAAAACAAAGAGAAAGGAGAACTTTGGCAGTTGGTGGAACCCAGCCACATGTCTCGGCTCGTGTCTGTTGGGTCAGGGTCAATGGTTGGACCAGCATTTTACCTACTGGGATGGGATGGGACTATCTAATCTTTTTTCAGCAAACTCAAGCTTTTCATTTTATTACTAAAATGGAACTGTACTGGTTTTCATTTTATTCCTTTCATTATAATACATTGGACATTCATGCCAAACTTCCACCTTATTTAGTAAGATTAGTGCATAATTCATATGCTTATCAAATATACACATGAGACCAGGGAACATTATTTATCGAATTTAGTATTATGGTACCAAGAAATTAACATTAGACTTGACTATCCAAAATGATAAAACATATACACTATATAGTTTCATAACTAATAATTTAAAAATAACGATATTATCCTAATTTTAATAAAAATATTACTATTAATTAATAAGTTATTATCTATAATAAGTTTTTGCTTCAAACGCTATATTTTAACTTTTCTCTGTCATCCATACACAAAATGAAAAGCTAATCCATATCCATTCATATTTAAGAGAAGCCAGTCAAACACCCCAAACGGATAAACCACCAAAACATTCAAACCGTCAGATCCAATCCAGCCCATCTTCTCTACCCTCCGATCATTATCCAACAACACATGAAAAAGGCCCGCCCCTCGTTATTATAGACGCACTCAAAAAACCACAACAAAATAAAGAAGAGAGAAGGCCCCGGAGGAGAAACTTCTTTAGCCATTTTCTAGAATCTTCTCGAAGGCGATGGCTGAGACGACCACCACCGAGAGATCCACTGGCACAGTCAAATGGTTCAGTGCCCAGAAGTGTTTCGGTTTCATTGCTCCGGACGGCGGAGGCGACGACCTTTTCGTCCACCAAACCTCTATTCTTTCCGAAGGCTTTCGTACACTCTCTGATAATCAACCCGTTGAGTTCTCCGTTGATATCGGCGAAGATGGCCGAGCAAAGGCAGTTGAAGTAACACCTATGTCCCGATCTCGTCGCCCTCCCCGTGGTGGTCGTGGCGGTGGAAGAGGAGAACATTTTGGCGGCAGAGGTAGGGGTGGTGGTGGAGGTTACAGGAGAGGAGGTTATGGTGGCGACGGCGACGGCGGAGGTAGTGGCGCATGTTATAATTGTGGGAGGACGGGACATTTAGCGAGGGATTGTTATCAAGGTGGTGGAAGATCGAGATACCGAGGTGGCCGTGGAGACGATGGTGGAAGTAGAGGATACGGCAGCGGCAATGGTGATGGCCGAGGAGCTGGGGGACGATGTTTTAGCTGTGGAGATGAAGGCCATTTTGCAAGGGATTGCCCTAACAAATGATTGCCAAAACGATTCCTATATATTTTGTGAGTACGAGTGTTTCTTTCATGGTGTGTTGCAAAGGGGTTTACGAGCAAAAGGAGAAATCCAAAAATTATTTATTTTTCCGATTATAATTTCTTTACCCACTTTTCCCCCCGATCCCGAGTGATCTGGTAACGTTGTATAATGTGCTATTATTGTTGTTATTCTCTTATTTTTATTATCGATTATTGTTCTTTTGATCCCTAATTCTTATTCTTGCACTTATTGGATAAAGTACTCGGATGGTCTTGATTATAGGGCAATGATTTGTTCAACCTCTAAATTACAAAATAGTCCCCTATAAAGAGTTATTTTATTGAATTTTTCGATTATAAAAAATTACAAAATAATCATTTGACTATTCATGTATTCTAAGTTCATATTTTTTCGTTAAAAATTGTATTGTAGTTTGAGTTGGACACTACTAATTAGGATATGACAATCTTTTGAGATTTCGAAACTATATTTTATCATATTTCAGTCACCAAGTTAACAACCAGTTTAGACTGTCATCAATTTTTAACAAAAAATGACGAGTTTAGAACATATAAATAGTTGGGTGACCATTTTGTAACTTTTAATAATCAAGCGACTCAACAAAATAAAGTCAATTGATCATTTTATAAGTTTTAATAGTTAGAGGACTCAGAAAAACATCACTCTATAGTTGAGAGACCATTTGTGTACTTTACCCATAATTAGTTTAATAGTTAAATTATAAAATATTAATTAAATTTATTAAATCGTTATAAAATAATTACTTCAACATTATAATAATATAAAAAATCGAAAAGATCTTTTTAGGATCTCAAAATATATGCATGGAGCTGTCAACTCAAGTCCGAATAAAAGTATAGGATAAATTATCTTTGACGTATTCTTTTCTTTCTTTCCTTTTTATTGAAACATTAATAATATTGTGGACATTGTTTTTTTATCCGTCTCTCGTTGTCATGGATAATTATATCACTGAAAGGTACATGAAGAAAAAGAAAAACAATGGTGAGATTTGGGGGTCTCCGGTTGGTTGTTAGTTGTTTGAGAGCCGTAAAGTCCTTATCTTGGTTTATAATATATGAGAGGTTGATATTCAGTTATATGGTCTTAATCTCAAAGGTTGCCCAATCTTTCGGCCTTAAATACTTTTTGGTGGGTCGAAACTTGGAAGTGAGGCATGCATTTTAAGAAGAGAAAATAATTTCAGTGATCGAAAATGCCTTGTAATATACGATTTTAATCAAATTTTTTTGGATTTACGAAAATGACCAACAAATTCGTAACGCGAACTATAATTTCGCAACACAGTTTCCAAATACGCAATGCGAATATGTAAATCGCAACAGGATTTTCAAATTCGCAACGCGATTTTCAAAATAATCCGCAACGCGATTTTCAAAATCGCAACACAGTTTCTAAATTCGTAACTCAGTTTCGAAAATTCGCATTGCGATAGTTGTGTTTACCTATATCGATAATTAGCGTTGCGAATTTGAAAATCGCATTGCGATAATACTGTTTACATTGCGATAGTACTATTTACTTATATCGGTAATTAACGTTGCGAATTTGAAAATCGCATTGCGATAGTACTGTTTACATTGCGATTTTCAAATTCGCTAATTACCGATATAGGTAAACAATACTAAAATTCGCATTGTGATTTACCTATTTGCGTTGCGATTTTGGAATCTGTGTTGTGAAATTGGAGTTCGTGTTACGAATTTGTTAGTCATTTTCTCAAATCCAAAAAAAATTAATTAAAATCATATATTATAAGAAATGTTCGGTCACTGAAATTATTTTCTCTTTTAAGAATTAAGACTGCAGTATTTTGTTTTATTATATGAAATTATAATCTTTTTAATCATATTTATGTATCAATTCAAAAAAAAAATTTATATTAAACTGATGTTTAAAGCCAAATACTAATACATATGTGTTGAGATTTTATGTTAACCAGGTATCGGTTTAATAAAAAATTGAAACTTTTTCAACTTCTCCTTTGAAGATCATGGTCCTCTGTATATTCTGATTACAAGTTCAATTGTCGGGTTGATTCTCTTTAAGATCTATTAAGGGCTAATCTATAACGGTTTAAACCTGAAATACATTCTTCACATCCCGAAGTCAATCACTTTAAAACAGAGTTAACACGTATTGCTGAAAGATGATCAAGGTAAAAAAGTTTGAAAGTACATACAAGCATCTCTGGTATGTATAGGTTTCAGGCAATTTATTAACATTTGAAACTTCAAATATCCTTTACTCATAATGATAAGAGGACATCGGATAATAACCGTGTAGGCACAAGATATATGCTGTGCTGCAGTTAGCCACCGCAGCAAGAGCCACAGGCAGGAAGGGAACCTGAAATATAGTACCAGAAAGGAAAACCTTTTAGCGGACAACTAAATTTATAAAAATTGAGAGAGGAAAGCTTGTATGACAAACAATAGATAATTCAATGTTACAAGGTGGGAAAAAACAAAAAGGCCAAACCACTTACTATGGTCAATTCCCCGAACATTGTCTAGTCCACGCGGTGGTCGTCGTGGGCCACCGCCATATGGTCCACTCCCAGGTCCACCTGGACCACCATCCCATTTCTTGCTTGAACCAACACCTTTTCTATAGGCATCAGACTTCTCCATCTGATGCACACCAACATTCAAGTTTCCAGTTGATTGATACAGATTAAAAAAATTGAAAACAAAAGAAACCCTAAACAATGGCCATTGACACACACAAAAAGAACCTTACCGAGAACATGGTTGAGAAGAACACTCCGATGAAATTGATAACCGCCCAGAAAAAATCAGTGATAGTTCTCAGTCGCCATATTGACCGCTTTGATTTCACAACACCTAAACAATCATGCATGAAGAAATTATTCCCAAATATGAAGAGAAGGTTCCATGACAAATAACAATATGCAAAACTAATGAAATGGCCATGTTTTCATCACAAAGGCAATATGCTGTATTAACAATTCAGCTAGGAATGCCATGCAATTGTTGTCATCCAAAAGCTCTGCAAAGTTTAAGAAAATCACCAGCAATCCCAGAATCAATCAAGCCAAGACAGGTAATCAACACAACCACATCCTCTTTTTGGATTTAAAACATAAGGATATGCATATACACTCACAGGCTACATATGGAATAACATACAGAACTTCTTTTTCAATTTGAAATAGCTTTAGAAATTAGGAAATAACTGTCTCCAAACATCACATCTTTAACTGGTACCAGCCATTAGAGGCAAAAAAGCACTAGCTGCAGAAAGTGAAATGGGCTCTCCAAGATTAAAGAGTTGAACCTTTAAATGAGTGGGGGGGAAAAACAATGATAGGGATGTCAAAGAGAGGAATTTTGCAAAACCATAGAAAGTTTTTGGGAATGAACTATGCTAATTCCAATTAAAAGCACTTATGAACACTACAAGAAATTAAGAAGTGCGGTGTCTGATTTGGTAAAAACCTGTGGTTTCAAATTCACCTGGACTGCAACAATAATGTAAAGTAGGACCATATTTCTATTTGAAATTAATTTTAAATGTCAGCTTAAAAGGGGGGTGTAACATCCTCCATGCCGGGTTAGTGATTAATTTGCAAAGTTTCAACATTTGGTGATTTAAGTAAAATGATGGAAGAGTTCAATGACCTATTTGAGTTATTTGGTGTAGGATTGAATTATAAAGAAGGAAAATTAAGAGGGCAAAAGAGTAATTTAGTAAGTGAAATAATTAAATATTCCTTAAGGTGATTTTATAAATCACGTGGGAAGCATTTGAGATAAACAAGGTTCCAGACATTTCTCTTCTTCTTCTCCAACCGTGAAGCTTGCAAGCAAAGGTGAGTTGTCTTCTTTTGGATTAATTCTTATGAGTTAAGCATGGGTTTGGTTAATGAAGATTTAGGAAATATGATGGAGAGAAACAAGGATCCTAGAACTCAAAGAATTGTAAGTTAAGGGAGATTAAAGGTTGGGAGCCATTGAATGAAATCTTAGATTAAAGGTCATAATAAGAATTAGAAGCTGGATTTGACTTGTCATCAAGCTAATTAAGAAGTATGAGGTGATAGAATTAAAATTAGAACAAGTTGGAATTTGAGTAAGATTCTTAAATTCTATATGGATGATTAGTTTTTTTAGTTTTAGAGGTATTGAATGGATAATAATTAGTTTAAGTAAGTGTATGAAAGTTAAGAGTATTAAAGGGAGTGAAATATGAATGTTTGAGCTGAAATGAGATGATTTTCGAGCTCAAAATAGGATTTCTGGGCTAGGGGAATCGGTACCCATTCAAGGGGAATCGATACCCCCTCAACGAATATGAATTTCCAGAATGCTAGAGGGGAATCGATACCCCCAGGGGGGAACCGATTCCCCCATATAAAAAAAAGAAAGACTAAACTATTAATTCCTTAAATTGGTAGGCTATTAAAGATTAATTTCAAGACATAGACATCTGATAATCATCTTGAAAATTTTGTTTATGTAGATACTGAGCCTACACGAGTTCTGGAACAATTTACAAATAGGATCGATCGAGGAAAAGGCAAAGAAATATAAGTGAGTGCATATGCATAGCATAATTATAGAAATATACTCAATTCTAGACTTGTGATAAGTCTAGATTTTATATCTTGGTACATGATCATATTCTGTATTTTGAGACATGACATGAATTCATATAAAATGCATTATATGACATGAATATGCAGGAAAAGTTATGAGCTATGTGAAAAGGTAAGAATTTACATGTCTACGCGATATAGACTACGTGAAATGTAAAAGCCCATGTTATGTAAATGGCAGTTGGCATGTAATTAAAGGGTTAAGTTGTGTATGCTCTGAATATTTTGGTAAACTTATATTACAATATGTATATTATCGTATTTTCTTAATATAAGTTCAAATATTTTGCTATTATTTGTTAAGAGTTGTGTTTTAAAGTCAATGTAGTATCTCTGACTCATATCCGGGTCGGGTACGGGTTGGGGGTGTTACATTTAATGGTATCACAGCTATGGTTTAGCCAATTCTAGGCATAAACTAGAGTCTATAGAGTCTTTAAATGGAATACATGCAAACAAATAGTGAGAACTTCTGATCTGGTATAGTATGAGTATGTTGTTTTGCTAATAGAACAATGTGTTTATTCTTATTAGATGTCCGGACATAATAGCTCCCGAAGTGAAGCGGGAGAAGATAGACATGCTGAAAGCAGTAATTCACATGCCCTGGCCAGGCAAGGTGAAGAACAGGCATCTCAAGGAGTGTCTGTGCAAGATCAAGATACGTTCTTCAGAACGTTAGACGCTATTCTGACGCGTCTTCAACCTTCTGCTCCACTAACTCAAAGAATAAATGTAGCAAAAGAGTTGAGAGGCTTAGGAGCTCCTGAATTTAAAGGAGAAGCTGAGGAAGGTCCAGTGTCAGCGGATCTTTGGTTGAATGATTTGAAAATCATGTTAGATGGTCTCCACTGTTCCGAAGTGGAGAAATTAGATGGAGCTGTATCTTTATTGAGGGGTCAGGCGAGGATATGGTGGACGAACGTCACCATGAGGATGTCAACCGACCAGTTGACTTGGTCTTTGTTTTTAGAAGAATTTAAAAACAAGTATATTGGAGATCAGTTTATCCGACAAATGAAGCAGGAGTTTATGAATTTGAAGCAGATGAGCCCGCTCTGTATATGAGTACGAATGTGAGTTTAATAAGCTGAGCAGGTTTGCAGCTGAGCTTGTGCCTACTGAAAAATATGCTTGCGAATGGTTCGTGGAGGGCTTGCGCCCTAGACTTAAAGAAATATTGATAGTATTAAACTTGTTTGATCAACTAAAAGGAGCTTCGGTATTTTCGAAGATCGATCTACGTTTGGGTTATCATCAATTGAAGATCCAGGAGAAACATATTCCGAAGACGGCTTTCAGAACGAGATATGGTCATTATGAATTTCATCGTAATGCCATTCGGAGTAACAAATGCACCCGCTGCTTTCATGGATCTCATGAACAGGATTTTTCAGCCCTATCTGGACCAGTTTGTTGTTGTCTTTATTGATGACATACTGGTTTACTCGAAGTCCATTGAAGAGCACAGCACACATCTGAGGCTAGTTTTGCAAATTCTCAGGGATAAAAATCTCTATGCGAAATTGTCCAAATGTGAATTTTGGCTAAACGAAGTAATTTTCTTGGGGCATGTGATCTCAGCAGTTGGGATTAGAGTAGACCCTCAGAAGGTTAAAGCTATAATGGATTGGGAAGTTCCTAAGAATGTGTCTGAAGTTCGGAGTTTTCTTGGACTTGCCGGTTACTATCGAAGATTCGTTAAGAATTTTTCGATGATTGTGCTGCCTCTAACAAAGTTAATGAGAAAGAACGTACCATTTGTTTGGACTTCTGAATGTCAAGAAAGTTTCGAAGCTTTAAAGAGAATTCTGACGGAAACTCCGATATTGGTTCAACCGGAATCTGGCAAGAATTTTGTAATATACAGTGATGCATCCCATAACGGGTTGGGGTGTGTATTAATGCAAGAAGGAAATGTGGTAGCGTATGCATCGAGACAGTTGAAACCACATGAAAGGAATTACCCCACTCATGATTTAGAAATGGCTGCTGTAGTATTCGCTCTCAGGATTTGGCGTCATTATCTTTATGGGGAGCGTTGTTACTTATATACGGATCATAAGAGCCTGAAGTACCTGATGACTCAAAAAGAATTGAATTTGAGGCAACGTAGATGGGTAGAGTTTTTAAAAGATTATGATGTGATAATTGACTATCATCCCGGAAAGGCTAATGTGGTAGCAGATACTCTGAGTAGAAAGACGTTTGCAGCTTTTCGAGCTATGGATGCAAGATTATCTTTAACGGGAGACGGTGGTCTTTGTGCAGAATTAACCCTTAAACCAACATGGTTGGAACGAATAGGAGAATTGCAAAGTAAGGATGAAGTGTGTTTGAAAAGAATTGAACAAGTAAAGAACAAAGAGATTAAAAACTTTGAGATTAAGTCAGATGGAAATCTATATTGTAAAGGAAGAATTGTAATACCCGACAATGACGACTTGAAGAAAGAAATTTTAACAGAGGCTCATTGCAGTTCGTTAACGATGCACCCGGGTGGAACCAAGATGTATATGGATTTGAAGGATCGATTTTGGTGGTCAGGGATGAAACGAAGCATCACCGAATTTGTGTCTAAGTGTTTGATATGTCAACAAGTCAAAGCCGAGCATCAAGTTCCATCAGGATTATTGCAACCGCTTTTTATTCCTCAATGGAAATGGGAAAATGTTACGATGGATTTTGTTTCGGGGTTACCCTTGACTCCGAACAAAAGAGAATCAATCTGGGTAATTGTTGATCGATGAACTAAGTCAGCGCATTTCCTTCCGGTTAGAACGGATTTCTCTATGGAAAAGTATGCAGAGCTGTATATTAGAGAAGTTATTAGACTGCATGGAGTACCTGTTTCTATAGTCTCTGATCGAGACCCTCGATTCACTTCTAGATTCTGGAAATCTTTGCATGGAGCGTTGGGGACTCGTTTAAACTTTAGTACGGCTTTTCATCCTCAGACTGATGGGCAATCAGAGAGAACTATTCAGATATTGGAAGATATGTTGAGAGCATGCGTAATGGAATTTAAAGGATCATGGGAAAAGTATTTACCGCTGGCAGAGTTCGCTTACAACAATAGTTATCAGTCTAGTATAAAGATGGCCCCATATGAAGCATTATATGGAAGAAAATGTCGTACTCCATTAAATTGGTATGAACTCAAAGACCGAAGTATTCTTGGTCCGGATTTAATTCAAGATGTAGAACAGAAAGTTCGAGAAATTC